GCACAAGATGATTGGCTTTCCTGAAAGGGAAGGGACCGACGTGCATGCCCAGCTCTTCTTCCCAGGTATCTCAGACGAGTCGGGTGCCACCACAACACAGATGATTAAGGATTTTAACGAGGGTCCTATTCGGTTTGAGAGCGTCCATAGTATGGGCTTGCCCCTCAACAGCCCACGCACGGCTTCCCTTCGAATTTCCATCTTCGCCAGGGTCACGACAACTCATCTTGATAAGCTGTTGAGCTGGGACGACATGCGGGACTCTGCACCTCCTCCCAAGCTCAAACGCAACAAATCTGCAAGGCTGCCCGAGTCCGAGTTCTACGCTGAGGACCGCCATGACATCTTTACGCGCGTTCAAATCCAGGAAATGTCCGAGGACGGAACCTATCGCCCAGTCGATGTCGTGCAGACTAACGCTATGGACCAAGGTGCCTACCAGCTTCACCAGGGCCTCCAGCGGCGTTTTGTCGTCAATCTCACTCATAGCTCTGGCAAGGTGTTGCAGTGGCAAGACATTTCTTCCATCAGAGTCGGCCGTGTCAGGCTCTTGGATCCCAATGGCCGAACTGCTGGCACAGAGTCGCCTCAGCCTGAAATCCCCGTCAAGCTGCTGTCAAAGCCTACGGTCAAAGACAACGCTGATGGCACCAGCAACGTGACATTCGTGGGTCTCTGGGACTCCAGCATGCACGGCTCTTTGCTGCTCGATCGCACGACTGCTGAGAGGTATCGTGTCCAAGTCTCGCTTATTTGGGATGTTGCATGCGCGAAGCTGTCAGGGCCCATGACGTTTTCGCTGGACATTGCAGTCCAAATACGCTCCCGATCCTACGTTCGCCCTTCTTCCATGTTCAGTCAGATTTTCGCAGCGTCGCGCATAGTCCACTCAACGGTCGGCATGTTTTCCGTTGCGATCCGTCCCCTCTCTGCCAAGAGAGTGGTCGACCTGTGGCGAATGAGCACCCAACACGACTATATCAAGGGCGAAGAGATGCTTTCCGGTTGGACTCCGCGCGGCGTCTCTCTGGTCAAAGATTTCATGGGGACGCGCAAGCGCAGGCGACGAGTAGCTGAAATTGAAACCGCTAGGAGCGTGCTGAGCTCTCGGGCGCTCACAGCCAACAAGGATGAGTACGTCTTTTCCGAAGATGGCGAGCCGACCGACCGCCAGAGAGAACTCCTTCTCAAAGTCCTGGCCCTTTGGAAGACCAAGAAAGACATTGGCGAGCTCCTCCTTGTCAAGGAAAACCTCCAACCGCCAAGTCGCGGAGCTGCTTTTGCGACCCCTCCAAACGGCGAAACCAAGCCAACTCTTATAGCAGAAGTGCGCTACGTGGCCAAAAATCCTACGATGCTCAAGTCTGGATATCTGTTGACTCCGGATGACACAAACACGCGATGGGTGCGGCGATTTGTCGAGTTGAGGCGACCGTACTTGCACGTGTACTCCATACCCGAAGGCGACGAGCTGAACGCAATCAACCTGGGCAACTCGCGGATCGACCATCAGCCGCAGCTGGCCAATCTCCTGCAGCGACACAACATGAACGTCTTTGCAGTCTTCGCGCCACAGAACACCTTTCTTTTTGCCGCGAAAAGCGAGCGCGACAAGATCGAATGGATCCTCAAGATCGACCAAAGCTACTTCAGCAGCGGAACCGCAACGCCAGCTGAGGACGACGAAGAAAGCATGTGAGGCCAACGAGGGTTGGTGTGGCCCAGCCGGACTTCAGGTTTGGGACCAGTTTTTCGATGATGATTTTGGCCATTTCACAGATCCTCCACAAAGTGTACGCTGTCTACGTCTCTCCTTTACACCCCTAAAATTTCCTGCCATTGAATTGCAAGGCGGGCATACTCGCATGCACTGATCGCGCCTTTTGAATAGTGACCACGGCGCGGCGCTGCAGCTTGTCTGTCGTCCGGTCTTGCTTGCATTTAGACACTGCTATCCTGATACCCAATGATCTTTTACTTTGTTGTCTTCTACTCCTCTTTTCATTAGATGTACATTTTTTGGTTGTTGAGATCGAAGAAGTCTTGGCTGAGATCTTCCCTGTACCATCACTTGTGTAGGCTACTTGTCTTGTAGTAAGTAGTTGGATTGGTGTGGGTAAGCTTGGACAGTCTGTCGTTGTATGACTACTTGTCTGTCTTGTTTGGGTGGACTATGCTGAAGTCTCTCGGTCTTAGAATCGCGAAAAAAAAAATTGTATATGTCACATTTCAAGAACTTGACGACTGCATCACGAATTCTCCAGAGGGGGACGCGTGCGACCAGTTCACAGTTTCGGATATCCAACAGAGGCATCCAAATTCATCCTGGCGAGAGGAGACGATTAACGAAGCACACGAAGTCCCAAATAGCATGGCCACAAGTAGTTGTCAAGCGATGATGCAGTGGACTTTGTCACTTTAGAATTCGCAGATATTTCGCAGAGGGAGGAGGGGAATTGTATTGTGAGTATCAAGAGTCCACGCGCCCCTCAAATGCCTTCGGAATCTCAGCCATGCTGTTTTTTAGAGCAAAGCGCAAACCGAGTGAGCAGCAATTCTGTCATGGTCGCACCATCATCACGATTCTTGTACCAAGGGCCGCCGTACTCCTCACCCTTGAGGAAGCACAGCAACTCCTTCTCGAGGAGCGGGCTGACAGACGTCCCGATTTTGAGACGCTCGAGCCGTGGAAACTTGGCCCTGAAGTACCTGAGAATCCGGCGGAAGCCGTCTCCACGACTCGCGAAGAAGTCGGATGAGTAGTCAATGGCGTAAGGATGGGTGCGAATGAGGACGATTTCCCGCAGGCGCTTGCATTCGGTGAGCCGCGACATCCAGGCGCCCTCCGCAGTGGCGTCTTTCAGCCAGGACGTTAGTTCGATTCCAAATGCACCCCTCCATTGGGCGCGACCAACTGGACCAAGGGACTCGAGAAAAGCGAACGCCTGCTTGTCACCGCGCGCGTGGAAGCGGATGCTTCTCAAAATGTAGGAAAGGGTCTCCCGGCGGAGGTCTTCGTTGAGCCTGTGGAATCGGTCTCCTCCAACGGCATAAACGGCCATGTGGTCCATCATGTCGCGCCAGTTGAGGGGAAGAGTCTTTCTGAAGTCGACGCTGCAGGAGAGGATCGGTTCCGGATAGAGGTGGTTGTAGATTCTGTTGCGGATTTCCCCTGACAGCCGGAAGAAGTCAAACTTCCTGACCGGGCGGCGCGGCACCAGAATGAGGTCGAAGCCTCTTGGTCGCTCGAACTATTTCGAAAAGAATCGGGTTAGTAGATGCGGCGGGGAGCTTTTGATCACTTACAGTCTTGGGCAACTGGGGTCCGATCTCGTCGCCAAAGATTCTGATCTTGCCCTGCTTATCGAACTGGATTTTCAACTCGGTGCTGGTTCCGTTGAAAGAGACGAGGAGATCTGTGCCAGTCGAGATCCCGATTCTGGCTTGTTCGCGGGGGATCTCGCCGTCGATATCCTCTTCGCCGGGCGGTTCAGCGCTCACAGCGCCTGGGGACGCCATTGTGGACTGCAGGCGACGTCGAGGCGATGTTTGAAAAGAGAGTACAAGACGAGGAAGATCTTTTAAAGGCTGGCGATAGGTGGACCGTATACAGCGCGCGAGTGCGCTGAACGCCGAGAGTCATCACTGCGGCGACAGTCACCCATGAACCCCCTTGAAGGCATGTTGAGAAACGAAAACATGGGAGACATGAGCATTCTCACTGGTAGAGGAGGATCCATTTGGAATACTGGAATCTCATGGAGCATTCATCAGACCCTAAGATAGAGAGACTCGTGTCAGTTCAAAAATTCACCAGGGATAATTTTCGAGGTTTACTGGTCCCTTTTCTGTCGACAAAAATGTTAGCACTACGAGAAATATGCTCGCAGTCCATTAGGGAGCTTGTGAAAGAGCACTCAGCAAAGTAGTATCACTAGTTAACGCTGACTTTGGGGTTGAGCATCTAGATCACAGCAAAGATATTCAGTTGATGCCAGAAAACACTCGATAATCACGCTCTCCAAAAACCTTCTTAAACTTTCAAAGTGGGCAAGCTTGTAAGGCCTGACTGCAATTGCATATGCACCAGCAGAGACAAAATTGACAGTTTCAATTTATTTCTTGTAGGTTCTAGGTCATATAAGGGTATGCTGTTGTGTATGTACTCGAGATGCTTGACTGATTTTCGACTGCTATTTCGCGTCCTGGTAATTGCAGTGACAGCTCATAGAGCAGTCAGTGGGTGGAGTAATGAGATCCAAATTGTCCATCCAAGTCTGGTGGCAAAAGGTGTGGCATACAACGTGCGTGATTGGCAAAAAATGGAAAGCATCCATCTTGCAAAGCGTGCGGATAGGGAGCATTCGAGTACCCTATAGAAATAGGCGTAGAAAGTCATCAAGTCCTCTGTAGAGTCCTGGGGAGATCTTCAGCACTTCAACGCGAAGACAGGGGAGCAGTCGTAGTCGACCGACGTTTGCTACCAACCCCCGAACTCCTTGGTAAGAGAATCCCCAAAACAGGAAGAGGGCTGTCTGTGGATGATGCTCCTTCTTCTCCAAAGTGAAGGCATAGAAGACAAAAGAATAAGACCTGTTCCAAACTCCATTCATACCGAAGAAACGTGTGGTGGACTCGCGCCCGCCCGGCCACGGCTGCATTAGTAGGGGAGGTAGTCGCTCTGATGGTCGTTGGCTCTTCTACTGTCGTCTATGTGGGCACGGCAGCGCGCACTCAACACCAGAAGTCCTCTCACATCTCAAAGACCTTCGAGCACCTTGGAAATCTTTGGCATCTACAACCTGACGAATGGATATCCTCCCGGCGCTCATGTGCAAAAAAGGTGACCGCAGAACACATGCAGCTTACCTGCCGCTCAATCCTTCCACTCTCACCTCAACACAGCACAAAAAAATTCAGAACCTCTCAACCACCATCGCTAGACCTCTAACACTCCTCAAGAGATCAAAAAGGGCAAAAAGATTCTTTCGGATATTACGCGACACCTGTGAGATTCGAACTCACGCTCCCGAAGGAACTGGCTTAACAGCTAAGGTCATATGAGATGTCCGATGATCGGAGAGCGCGGACAGTAGCAGGCCAGCGCGTTAACCACTCCGCCAAAGTGCCAATTGGACACCGCCTTCTCTGAGGAAGGGGAGTGCTGCCAGTTGTTACGTTGACTCAAACTTTTTGCAATATATACAACATGCCCAGAGAGAGGCAAGCTCGGCGAAAATCAACCCGTCAGACTTCACCCGAAGCCTGTTTCACCTGACTTGTCACTAAAATAGCAACGCCGAGACGCTCCAGCAACACCATCAGCATCGAGGCATGCCCAACTTCCAATGCCCCTCGATTCAAATGCGTTGTGGTGTGGCGAAACGAACGGGCCCTCGGTCGGGCGGGCCGTTGGCGCGGCGGACGGCAAGGGATTCCTTGGGCCCCACAAGAACGCCACCATCACCGCCACCTCGACCAACCCAGCGCTCCTTCACACGATGTGCAGGGACTTGTTTGGCAACAATTAGGCATCGCTGATGTGACTACGAGAGGACGGAGCTATGGAGGTGAGCAGGTTGTGAGAAAAGGAAAGGATTTTCTTGCGGCATCTTTCCATCTTTCCTCGCCAGCTGGCCTACCGCGACTTCACCCTCATTCGAGCATTGCGCCAGCGCGTGGGTCGCACAACGGATCTCAACTCCAAGACGGAGCAAGAATGCTTGAATGCTACCCTAGGTATACACACATATCAGCCTGTGTCGCGCCGCTGTTGCACTCCCTTCTGTTGATTCTTCACATGTCCACTTCACATAATCCCAATCCGCATGTCTTGCCAACACGTCCATTCGAAACGAAATGTGCACGCCGTAGTCCTATCTCGAGTAAAGAAAGGGGCGAGAGACCCCAAACTGAAGGACCGCAGTCCCCAACAGCGCGGCACATCTGAAGAGGGGCTTGCTTAGCCCGGCACTTTTAACGGTGAAGCCGCGGTGGATGACGACAGCGACGACGGCCCAAAGAAGTAGAATCTCAAGGTTGGCAAAAGCAGTGATGACAGGACGCATCCCGGCGGTCCGATGGAGAAGCTGGGTCGTAGGAGCAAGTGCGATTGCTGCGCGCGGGAAGCAGTCAAGCATGGTGTGCTGTTATGAAAGAGCGTCCAAGGCACGGCATAGGCAGCTTCCGGGATGTGGAACACTAGCGCATTGAAAGGTTGCATTAAGTAGACATTTTTGAAAAGACGGGACCTGGTATGGCCTATTGACTCCATCTGTTTCTCTTCCGCCTGTTCCCACATTAAAGTCGACTGCAAAAGTGATGCCAACTCCAAGATAACGCGGATCTGCTTGAATAAAGCCTGCGGCTGTCCTTTCACCAGCCCACATTTTCAAGTCTTTAGGGTCAAGTGCTTGAGCGCACTTTGCATGCTCGTATCTCGACTGGGCCATTCTAAACTTACCTTTGGCTAGAACACGCGACTTTAACATTGAGCCTTGGAATTGACGTTTCTTTCACCATCTAGCTGTGACATTTGCCCTTCGATCCATTGACTCTCGTCACGCCGCCGCTTGTAGTCAGGCAGATCGAAGCACTCCGAATGGCCGGGAATAGAAAACACCGACTACTTACCAGAAGAAACGTAGCCAGCAAACACCATGCGCTACGCAATGCATTGCCGAAAGGCAGGTAGGCAGGCGCACGTCGTCCCGTCCCGCATCCACGTGGCGCATGCTCGTCTCCATTTATCGTGTAGATGCCGGTGCGGGTGTCCTGTACCGATGTCGAAGATAAGCAAAGGACGGGATGACGTCTCTTGATTGCAACAGCAGGAAGTCAGGGCTGCTGGCCGCGGCGGCATTGTCACTCGTCTACTTGCCCATCGTTTGGAAGGAGCAAGCACGAATCCAGCTCACGTCACTCGCTCCGAGAGCGATGTCCAGGCACCCAGCCGCTGTGCACGCGCTCAGGTCGCGCATTCAATACGCATACCGTTCTTACCGCCCAGTGCTGCGAACGCACAGGAGAAGAGGGAGGGTGATGGTGGCCTTACGATATGTACCCGGACGTACATAGAAACGCATGCATAGCACATGCGGGATCTCGCCGCTCAGTGTCCAGCGGGAACGAAACGCATGTATGCAGTCCTCTTCACGAACACATGTGTGTGCAAACGGGTCAGCGGGTGGGTGGTGTGCTTACTCGTTGCGTATTTCTCTGCAGGGACGGCCAGACACATAGGCGATGGCCCCAGACCCGGGTTCTGAGGTTGTTGTTCCTGGGTGCATCTGCGAATTGTGAGCGGCGAGAATGTGAGCTGAGAAGTAATGGGACCTGTTGGCCGTGAGGATTCAAGGGAAGGAGCCTACGCGCAAGCGGCGACCGCCTCTGCACAGTCATAGTAACAGCTGGAATGACAAAACCGTCGAATGGAAGCAAGAGAAAGAAGGAGGAGACCTCGTGCCTCGCCCAAGCGCCTCCCCCAGCCTCCGCTCCCGTGCACCGTCCTGTACGTAGCCATTTTGTCAGCGCCCGTCAGCGCGCATGCAGACCCTGCGCGAAAATGTCCGGTAGAGCGGACAAGCGGCGAGGGGTAGACAGGGGGACTCGCAGCGCCCCAGGTCCCATATACCGCTTCGAGTAGTGCACCCATGTCACTTATTTTGCTTTTTCCCTAGTGGACGGGTGTAGCCACCCAGCGCCTTCCGGTGGGTCGGCGCGCACGCGGCACACAGCTCGAGCGTCATCGCTTTATTTTCCTATTGCTGCTAGGTGCCACTGCCGCTATCGCTACGGTCTGGGTTTTCGCTACCGACCTTACGTACTGGCGTGTCCTTTAAAGGTCGTTTGATTGTCCATCTCAATATGCGTAAGGAGATGACGGGGATGGTTGTTGGGGTCGTTTGAGAGGCCGAGGTTGCCAACGTTTTCGATGGGTGGAGGCCAGAAAAGCGCGGCGATCAGGCAACTGGAGCCGTACTCGTGTGATGGAAGGCAGCCAGAAGGACCCAAGAAGGTAGTCAGCGTCAGCAGCGTCGTGTGTTCTTGGCGGCCTCGTGGCTCTCAAGTGGACTGGCCCCCAAATGAGCGGACAAGGAAGCATTCCACCTGACTCAAAGACCGCGCTTGCCAGACAAAAAGATGTCGCGACCATTGTAGCAAGATAGTCAGGGCCAATTCCACAATTCAGAACGGCGCTAAAAAAGGTTGATACAACAGAGGAGTAGGGCCTTGACTCGCTGTTGACATTTTTATACCAAGGCACGGGTCTCAAGTCGCGCTTGGCTGGGGTGATTTGCAGCGAGGGGTTTTGGCGCAGAAGAGCGGTGCTTTGGACCCATTGTTGATGTTTCATGAGCATCGCGATGTGGAGTAGTTGTCCAAGTTCCAGAGAAACAGCCGGATTGAGATGCAGTTCATCTGTCGTAGGATCGTGAGTGGAGGTCGTGACTGGGTTGACAAAGTCTTTGCGCGCTACACATGACGGCATGTTTCTAACTGGTATTCGTTGCGCGTAGGAAATGGCAGCAAACCGGTGGTCGCGAGGCAGAGTTGTTCTCGAGGCAAAGGCGTTGTTTTGGCGCCACAGTCGTGCAGTCTGCTACTTGAACCTGTCTAGGGCGTGGAGGTTACCGTTATACGCCGCGGCTGGACAGGTCTCCAGCTTGTTGGCCGTTGGTTCACGAGACGGACGGGCCACCGTCTGCGGGCGTTGAGTGTGGAGATTCATCCAAGCGCTCAAACGGGCAGGCTGCGGCCGGTTCGCAGGCAACGATCTGCACACTTTCCTTGGACGACTCCCAGAACGTCGACTGGTCATCCTGTCGACCATGAGAATCGAGCCAAGGGAGAAAAATGGGCCAGAAGTAACCAAGGTCTGGCTAGAGGCCATGATAGGAGGAAAAGTCAGGTGAAGAGATTTTCAGTGTAAGGATAGGCCAAACAGAGCTGACAGGCGGACCAGTAGACGTTGGGCATTGGTACAGGGCGTTGATGTGCGCCCGAATGCGGCGGCCGACGTCGCGAGGGTCAGCTCGAACGAGTCGCGACTCTGTGATGGCTCCTGCTGTGTGATGGAACATGGGGATTTTCCAGTTGAAGTTGGCCTCCTCTCGTGGGACGTTACTTCATGCGGTTCGCGCATACGAGACCGAGTCTCTGTCGCAACAGTCGAGTGACTGCCGAGCCTGCGACTGGGTCAATTGCGTGCGACATCTCTCACGTCGGTCGAGGACGCAGCTCAGACATCGGGCGAGGTTCCGCGGCCATGTCGACAGCGTATTGTATTGCGTATGGCGGTGGACAATGATGGTGGTCGGTGGGCCAGAGACTCGGCAAAGATTCGAGATGCAGCAATGCAAGCGGAGCCGCAAATCCGAGGGCGCGGAATTTGAAGATGGTGATGGCGAAGAGGGCAAAGTGGTTGCGGCGCGACGGAGGGACCGGCAGCCAATTCGGGAGGCCGTCACCTTTGCGGGCAGGCTAGTGGTGTTGATTGGTTGTCGTTGACGCCGGCCCTCGCCCAGTCGGATATGCCCGCAGCTGTCTAGTGCGGCTCAGCTTCCTTCCCCCAAGACCTTCATCCCCGGCCACCAACAGTATTGGCCACGCGAAAAACCCACTTCCTCGAGCCCGAGTCCATGTCCAGCTCCTTTGACCTGGCCGCGTACTCGCCCTCCCAATGGCATCCGCCGTGGATTACACTTTACGAAGCGGAAGAAGCCATGGCGTCCAGGAACCATGGCGACGTCTACAATCCAACATGTACAAGAGCAAGGAAACGGCGTGACCAATACTCGGCATCTGCACTTTGCCATCATTGCGAGCCGCCGCAGCGGCGTCACCGGGTCCTGGCCTGGCCACTCGTGCTTTCGACATGCGCGTTCTTGTGATTCTGTGCCCGAAACACCCCTGCCCCTGTGCTCGACCTCTATCCTACCGGGATCGCCATTCTCCCGGCGCTGTTCTACCATGCTCTGATTGATCGGCCTGTCGTTCGTTTTCCCAAAGCTGAATGGGAGCGTCGGGGAACTCCACTGGTGAGGCCAGAATTTGGGCCCTTCTACTACTCGGCTCCCCATATTCTTGCCCTCTTCCCTCTTGCTTCATCTACCGCTTTTTCGACCTTC